ACGCCATATCACTTACAAACCCTAACGACAATTCGCTGAAATACAATTTACCCTGATATGTCATTAAGCAAACAAACGCTGGAGTTAAAATTTGATACGCCGATTTTCGCTAATTTGAGACACATCCCAAAATATGCTCCCGATTTTGAACATTAATATCTCCGTGAATTTTTAAGTAAAATACAACTGTAATATATCAAAATCTAAGTTAGTCCTTCCTCTATTTAATGTAAGTTATTTCTGTTTGATAGTTTACTTGTTTAGAAGTTATTATAAATCAAACCGGAGTACTTTTTGTATATATATGTATGTATATATATATATATATATATATATATATATATATATATATATATATATATATATATATATATATATATATATATATATATATATATATATATATATATATATATATATATATATATATATATATATATATATATGTATATGTGGTGGAATAAGCATCGATCCAGTCAAACACATTTTAGATTTTAGACATGGAAGAAGTCAAGTGTCTGGCTGAGATAAAAAGACAAGATGAAAAAGCTTTTGAAAAGCATCCACTAATTCTTGTTTGATATACATCACAAGGAATGTGGAAGATTATTCAAGGACAATATTTGTTTGGTTGTTTGGTTGCGTGTGTGACCCAGTCCACGATGGCGTCGTCGATTGCGAACGTCGATTGCAATATTTATCGACCTCTATCACGCCGAAATATGGGCGTACGACACACCTGCTTGTGTACATAAATTTATTTTAAAAGATCTAACGCTAATGTTCAATTGTTGAATATTGCCTGTACACATCTGCTAAAGGGCACCTACAGTCATTTTTTAGTCGAAAAGCCACCTTAAGTATTGTTTAGATTTTTTTGTTATTGTCGATAGTTGACATGCGCACCACGGCATGCATGCGTCTTCCGGTGTGCGGAAGTACTCATACTTATGGGTACTGTACGTAAGGTACAGCCAAACGAATCTACGTGGAGTCCCCTACTTAAGGTGGCTTTTTGACTAAAAAATGACTGAAGGGCCCCTTTGATTTCTTGATTGCTATAAAAGACCGAGGAAATGCTGGAAATTCCATTCATAGTTCGTGATCATTCACCAGTAATAAGTTAAGAAACATTGGAACATACGAAAGAATTGCTAAACAGACTAAATATTGTGAGTATACATAGTTGGAACAGGGTAAATTACCTTGGTTAGGATTAGTTTAAAATTGATTTACGGTGGGAGATTTTGAATTTGATTTGAGTATGGTTATAGGATTTGGTTTGCTGGTTTAAGTTAGAAGGTTCGTGATACTCTGCAATTAAAGTCCTTAAATACTACCTTAATAAGTGTTGACTTTTCTACGGCGGAAATCTCTTGAAATTTAAAGTTTTAAAAAACTCCTTAAATGCTCTTTGAATTCTTAAAATGTTTTGCAAAATAGTAAGCGAAACCATAGTATTAACTTTTGCTAGTTGCCATAGGTATTTTGTGGTGCAAAAACCGGAGTTAGAAACAACTCGTCGATACAAATTCGTCAATATTACACCAAATATTTCGTTAGGAACCTGTAAACTTCAATTCTCGTAAATTCTCGAATCATCACAATATCTTTATTCAGCACTGACGAACAGCACTAGTCAGCACTAGATTCGCTAAAATATGTTTACATTTGTTAGTCAGTGTACTCAAAATTAGTATGTTAAGACACTTAAAGATCCTAGAAACAGGATTGCTTAAAATGGATTAGTACTTACAAGTTATTGTGAACCAATACAAAATATAAACGCACTGATAATACTAAGATAAAAAACTCGTGACAATGTTTTCGCGCGTTTTTCGTATAATATAATTTTATATATGTTCGTTATAAAGCCACACGACTCGAGTCTACTTGGATGTGAAATAACATCTCGTACGTATAAATTACCCCTTAAAGTGAGGTGTATTAATTTTGATCCAGTCCTAGGTTTGGATCAATATACTTCATCAGGTATCAAGTATTATCGGGTGAGCAAAACGATGCAATATGGTTGACTAATTTCCTTATGAATTATTAATGCGTTTCAGATAGATAATATTTTACCAGAGATATTTTTATTTTTACGAGATATCTTCATTTTTACGGAGATATCTTCATTTTTACGAAATAACAAAAAGTGTTTTCCGCAGATATAGTTATTTTTCCCAATCCACTTTCTTATGCTCTGAGAATTGCCTAAATTTGCCTAAAAATTTTCTGGAGAATTACCTGAATTTACCTAAAAATCGTCTGGAAAATTACCTGAATTTACCTAAAAATCTACTGGAAATCTACCTGAAATTGTTCATGAGCAATTAATAGAGGGTGTTGCACCCCCACATACCCCCGGTCACGATAAAGTTTGCTTATCAATATCAATTTCATTTCGTTTCAACTCATCAAAAATTATATCTATGTTATCCATGATACTCTCACCATAACGATTGAACAACAAATGAGACACACCGTATTTATTTCAGTAAATATATGCAAATTTACACTACTTAACTAGCAACGTATTATTATTACAAGAGGTCTATTTTATCAAGTTCACTTGTTAAACCAAATCTACGAAATTCATCATAGGCCTCCTTAGTGTTAGATTTAGAACTATTAAATGTCTCTCCTGTTTTTTCAATCATGTACTGGTATTGTAGTGGATTACTGAAGAGCACGATGCCAGTGTTGGTCACCCGAGGGCCTTGTTGCTTCCATTCTACTCAGACATTTTTTTTTCTTTTCTTCCCATTCTCGACTTCGCTCGCAGCCAATCTGTAATAGTTGTCCAAGCTAACACACGTTTTCTTCTCGAATTTTTCCTTCCTTTTCGTCATATCTGCAAATATCTCACCCACAAGCATCTGCTTACAGTTCGACAAATATGTAAAGGTAGGGCCCTGCACTCGTTTAGGAACACCAACTCTCAGAATCAATTGTGATTGCATTTGACGCAACAATATATCATACAGGGCATCGTCCCCACGAATAAATTTCGGTACCAAACCCTTTTCAATCAAAATGTTTTCCAAATCTGTAATTTGCCATTTCGCCTTTTCAATAGGTAAACCAACCCCATTCTCACACTCTGTACTCAATTCAAACGATTTACCACTCATCCACGAAGAAACAACCTTTTCCCACTTTGCTTGCTCCATCTCGACTGAAAAAGAGCGCGATAATCTGTTCTCCCTCAAAAAACTTTATCTTCCAACAACCAATAAACGTTAATTCTACCAACAAGATAAATTTCAGCAGCTTGCCAAAAGACCTCCAGTAAGAACGTTGTCAAAATATAGACGATGCTTGTTACAAGACGCTTGTCGATTTTTTATACAAACACTCATTAAATCAAACAACCAATCATAGTAAGCCAACATTAATCTCTCAATTGTATCATAAACGTGGGGGACGCTAAAAAATGCGTAGTCAGCAAGTTTTGTTCAATTTCGCCCGAACAGGCCCGCGTGACGTCATTGCATATAATTATGATTTGCCGAGTGACGTCATTGCATATAATTATGACGTATGTTAATGAGTGACGTCATTACTCCTCCTCACTCCACCACACTCCACCTCACTCCACCACACTCCACCACACTCCACCACACTCCACCACACTCCACCACACTCCACCACAAAAATCCGGGTCGAACGGCCTCTATATTACTACTAACGGCAACGGGGAAAATATAATTGCTTATATCGGGTGTGTAACAAAAAGGTAATCGAACTTCAGCGCGCTATTGTATCTGAATTGCTCAGCGTATGAACAAGATTTTTTCACATTCGGAAAGATCATGATTTTAGCTGTTGAATGATATCTTCTTCATGCCAAATGGATAAAAAATGAGCAAATACAAAAAAAACGATAAAAAATGTTAGTCAGAATCGCATATTTTCACTTAAGTTGATGAATTTCACTTCAATAAACGACGCACATATTCAAAATTATTATTAAGTAGGAATAAATCCTAGCTAAACAACGACACGTTCGTGATTAATTGCTTTTTCTTTTGTTAAGGCGCAGAGGTGAAAATATGCGATTTTGGCTAACATTTTTAGTCGGCCTCATACATGGTTATTTTTTCTCCACTTGGCATGAAGAGCATGTCATCAATAGCTAAAAGCCTATGTGACGAAACTGAAAGAAATAAAAATAAGAAAATTTAAAAGTTTTTAAGAGTTTTGTCCCATGAGTACAATACCTTGTGTTCTTACCCAACCATTAATTCATAGCAATTAGAGCTGTCAAATTACTACAATACGTTATAGCTAACTTGAATTTGAAAGAGTTCAGTTTTTTTATACACCCTCTAGAGTCACTTAAAAAACTCATTAATAATTCATGAAGAAAACACAAAGAAAAATCACAAGCGTGTCGTATCTGTATACAGGGTGTATAAAAAAAAACGCAACCTCGGAATTTCCTAAGAAATCACTTTGCAATTCTTAAGCAGAAAAGATTTTAGGCCCCTGGGAATTGAAATCGAATTGCTAATAGATCATATTACTCTTGTTGTGCATTAAATAAATGCATAAATTTTGCTCTATGCACTCGCGTGTGCAGTAATTTTGACAGTTGTGCTATTTTAAATTCCCAGGCGCTTAAAATCTTTTGTCTTTAAAACAATGTCGATTTCTTGGGAAATTCCGAGGTTGCGCTTTTTTTGATGCACCCTGTATGTGATACAGATTCATGTTGATTTACATAAACTTTAACTCTCGCCTTCGGCTCGAGTTTGTATATCCAATACAACACGGCCGCTCATGTTGCAAACATTACTAATGATTCAATAAAGTGGTTAATGAATTCATAAAAAATCACACCTAAAGCAGTGTAAGTTGTCCAAAATTTACAAAGTAAGAACACCAGCATTTTCGTTATAATTATAGCATTAACACGCACATACACCAATTCCCATCCAAATAAACTAACTTCAATATGCCGTAGTTCAAGTCATAATTCAGTACTGTTCATTTCACTCAAAATTCAAATTTAATGTAGTATCCCCATGAGTTAACGTCACCTGCACTTTAGACGATAGGTCTTTCCTTTGCTTCTTATCTACACACTTCTGTTTTGCGACAACTTCGTTGGATTCTACTTCTTCTCCACTTGAAATTGGACTCTTTGGTGTTTGTAAGACATTTGTTACTTTTTGCAGCAATTCATCGCTTGGCCGTTTATAAATTTGTACTGCCGTACTTCTGTGTCTCGTTCTCGCCATAATTGTTTGCTAATAAAACTAACCAATCTCGCACAGTTGGTTTGTACGCAATTGTAACATGAATACACTAATAATTAAAGTGCACTCTTCCGTCAACCATTATTCTAACTTTAGTTGCCTGCCTTCAATTCCTTCGTGGATGCAGTCATTCTCTAAAAGACTGTTAGAGCATGGTCACGTGTGCTCTATGGGATATAGAGTCCCTCGAATTAGTTAAAAGGCTTTATTATTTAACTAATTCTCGGGATTCTATATCCCATAGAGAACACGTGACCATGCTCTAACCATTACATAATCCCCGAATTCAAATAAAACACCTCAAATAACATCGAACGAATTAACTGTTGCCGTAGTCATGCACCTTGAAAATTATGCAAATCACGTACTTGTTTCAACAACTACGGCATTGCACAACGCTTAAGACCATGTAATTTACATTCGCCTTTGTCTTTGAGGATTAATGCTATAATTGTTGATGACCATATTGCCGTTGCCGTTGCCCTTGTATTTGCCAAACTCTCTATATAATTGCAAAATATTGCAGCTACAGTCGTGTACGTGCCGTGCTGGTTAATGCAGTTTCATCTCGCCTATTCATGGCTTCATAACTGCATGCTTGTGCTAAAAACAAATTGACATGTCTTTGTTTTTATTGTTCGCGATTTTCTATAACTATGAACATTATATGATAGCCAGATAGGAGTATTACGTACTCCTCTGCGCTTTGAGAAACTATGCCAACATGTTAAATTTAGTCAAACGGTTAACACTTATAATTAATCGTTATAATTAGTCGTTCACATTCTTGAGAAGCATTACTATTGTGATCGTGTTCACAACAATAGACGAGGGAATGTCTTTCTTGTCGTTTGCGTTTGCTGATATATTTGCTGAATATTAATGATATGTATATATTATCTGCTACGAATACAGTCAAAAATTGCTTGTATCTTGCTTCTAAAGTCCAAATTGCTTGTATCTTGCTTCTAAATGTGAAAAACATAGTTATTGCTGTAATCTATTTTTCAGATATCGATGAATGCCATATAAACCCTTGTAGCCATCTCGCTTCTTGTAAAAACGTTCTGGGCACTTTTACATGCTCTTGCAATCCTGGTTACATTGGTGATGGAATTACATGCATTGACGGTTCGTATAAATTATTCTATTTAATTACTGGTATTGAGATCATAAAATCTGATTTCAAGATGACAAATTTCAGCAGTCGTAAAATGCTTAAAAATCAATGAAACTATGAATATGGATCCCAAAATTAATAACAGGAACTCTAGTTTTTGTAAAGTGAAGTTTAAGTTTAAGTGCTGCTTAATTAATTTAAAACACGAGTTAAGTGCCTTATCATACAATAGATGCATGCAATCTCATTTAATTATTAAGTATTCTTTATACAAAGAATAGCCTCTTCACGTTACATGTTATTATTGACATAATTTGCCAATAAGCTTATGAATTATATAATGTGGGTTGTAACTGTCAACGAAAATTTAAGATAAATAGCGTGATCCGGTTTTGTTCATACACAAACGGCCCCTGGGAAACAAGATACCTTTTAATTTCATCAAGCAGAGGGAGCTTTTTGTTGTTACCGTACTTTACCGTATCCAATACACCAATAACCATCCACCTCTAATTAGTTGGTGGGCCACCTCTGATGCGCACCGACTCTAGGTTTGCCTTTTGGTACTGGCCACAAAAGGACGAATTACGTTATTTTTTCGGCAAAACTTACGTAATTCTTACGAAATCAAAATCAAAGTGGCGACAATGGAATTAGCGTACAAAAGTGTGATATTGACTTGTAATCAATTTTTTGGTCTTTTCTTTCGGGGTGTTGAAATATTTATATTACGAATTCACCAAAAATTATCGCGAGTTTCACTGTTATGTTATCCAGGAGGGAATTGGATCAGTAATTTGTACATATTTTATATATTTTTGTTCTTTTGGATCTACGTAAATCAAACTTAAAGTCAGACATCGCATGCTTCTTTCGACCGTCTACATTCTGTTCCTATTAATAGCATTGAAGGATTAAGCTTCGATTCATTGGGACAAAATACTGTAGTATGACTAAAAGCTGAAAAGAAGTAACTCAATTTCCTGATTGTAGTGTGGAGGTAACCTGCGATCAGGCTCTATTTTACAAAAAATAGCCTGACACAATCCTTAATCTGATTGCTTTCCACCCACAGCAAAGTTTATATTTAGCATCCAATCAAAATGTCGATGGAAAAATTTAAATTTCACACAAATTTCACTATAAATATATCAACGACAATATAAATGTAATTAGCACCAACCGAAATACGGTTGTAAAAACATGGACTTTTGTTAAGATTTGTATCAGGCCTATTTATTTATTTGAAACTTTTTGGGCACAATAACATACGTGATTCGTCTAGTTGGCCACCTTTATACTGCACACTGGCCCCCGAGCCAACGCCGTTTCAGGCGTAAGCCCGGAACGAGGGTACTAATTCTGCCCGGCTATTTACCCTCTGGGGAAACGAAAGCATTGGGGAAGTCTAAAGTTAATCAATGATCGCGGGCGTGGGTTACCGTGCGTGGCATGGTTCGGTGTTGGGTGGGTGGTCATCACTGATCTCACAATATGGCGAACTGTCATAAATAGCGAACACTGATTGGTCTAATTTAAAATTTGCATTATAACGACTGCATGACGACAGCGAAATAGCAAACATTTCTTGCTTTGACCATTTAATGATTTCTTAGAAATATATTTCATTTTTGCATACAACTCGATGTTTATTCGCATATACGAAGAGACAAAACTCGTCATCAAGGCGGTGTTCTTGTTCAGTTGCATCAAATCTAAACTTCAAAGAGCGTGACGAGATCGGGGACGAAAGCGGTGAGCTTCAAATGTTTATGGCTTGAGATTGTACCTCCCAAAAGCGAAGGCTTTCTTATTTGCTCCTCTTATCGCCCACCGAATTCCGACAACGAAATGATATATGTCGAGGGCCTACGAAATATGCTCGATAAGGTGAGTGATTTACAGAAAGAAGTTATTCTCATTGGAGATTTTAATTTTGACTTAAAACGGTCTAGAAAATCGGCGCCGTGTAAGTGCTTTGTTGATATGTCTAAGGAATTCGGTTTAAAGCAAATTATCTGTGACTACACTCGCGTAACTCAACACTCAAAAACATTGATTGATCTCTTTTTAACATCTCGTCCTGACCTATACATAACAGGAGTAATGCCTGTTGGGATCAGTGACCAAAGTGTAATATATGCGGTTCGCAAGCTGCATAGATTAATTAAAACCTCCATCTTTACGGATCATTAATACACGAAATTATAAATGTTACAACCAGATTGCTTTTGTCGAAGACTTAAATAAAGTTCCCTGGTCGCAAATCGACATAACTGGAGATATTGAAGAGTCATGGGATTCTTTGAAAAACCTATTCAATGATGTCGCAGGCTCTCATGCCCCACAAGTACCTTAGTTAACAACGGAGATTAGAAAATTAATGAAAGAAAGGGATAATCTTCACAAACTGGCGCTTAAGACCAATAGTGAACTGCACTTGAGCTACTTTAAACGCATGCGTAATGCTGTAATTATATAACCCTTAAGTTAAGAAGAGAAAAGAAACATTACTATTACTATCAAATTCAGGAGAATGAATCAAACCCAAAGGGGACTTGGAAAAAATTGAAACGTTTACTTGCTAAATGTGGAAAAGGAACTGGATGCACTGGTGCAGGTTCAGCGACAACTGATTTGAAAGTTAAATGCAACATGTTTAATCGTTTCTTTGCTTCCTGTACTATGAACTTAAGATCAATTTGTAGCACGACTGACCAAGCGTTCAAAAAATGGTTACCCCAAATGGAACATTCGGAAAGCTTTACGTTTCAACAATTTACTGATTCGGAGGTTCGAACTGCTCTGAGGGAATTAAAGGTGAAGAAAGCCACCGGTGTAGACGGCATACCAAGCAGATTGTTAAAAGACGGAGCTGGCATATTAGCCTATCGATTGACAATTTTTTTCAATTTGTCAGTTCAACAATGTAAGATCCCTGGGGAATGGAAGAAGGCAAAAGTTACGCCACTTTACAAGAATGGCGCAAAGAGTGATCCAAAAATTTTTCGCCCTATTTCTGTTTTACCGGTAGTATCTAAAGTTCATGAGCGATTAATCCATAACCAACTTGCATCGTATTTTGAAGAAAATAACCTGTTGGGTAGATCTCAGTCAGGATTTCGAAAGAAATACTCAACAGAAACGGCGGTAGCCCATTTTGCAGACCAAATTCTCATGGGCATGGATAAAGGGCTAGTGGCGGGTGCCGTTTTCATTGACCTAGCTAAGGCATTCGACACAATCGACCATGATGTCTTAATTCATAAGCTGAAACATTATGGAGTATCTAATGAATGTCTATTATGGTTTAAGGATTACTTCTGCGCAAGGAAGCAGTTTGTAACTATTGATTCGCATAGATCTGAAGAGCTGGATATCGCTTGTGGGGTACCGCAAGGGCTTACATCAATGATTTATCATCTTGTATGCGAAGCTGCTAAGGCCTACTCTGGGGCGGTAAATCGCCTTAAATCGCTGCGATATAATGCGATTTTGGGCGATTTTAGGCGATTTAAGGAAAAACTAGGACTTTAAAGCACTGCGATTTTAGGCGATTTAAGGCGATATAAATTTAAAAAAGATTTAAAATAAAAGAAAAAAAATTTAATTTTAGAGATTGCAATTTGGGTGTTTTCAAAGGAATTGAATTTTATATTTTGCTCCGGTTTCCTCCCACAGGGCAAAATTGGCAGGGTGGGTTAGGATAAACACAGTTAGGAAAGTAATGTCATATCCTCATTGTTGCAAAGATAAATA